AACCTCAGTTCTCTGAAACTCCTCCTCTTCTCTAAAACATGCATGCAGCAATGTAGACTCAGACAGGCAAACTGCTGAAACAAGCACTTGCCAATCCACAGAAATAATGCAATTCAGAGACAGAGAAATAAAATGGGAGGCAGGTTGTGGGTGTCCCCACGGTAACATTAGCAGCTCTGTCATTGTTTTTTGGGTCTTTAGTTATTTGTGCAGTGTTCAGTAGGGGTTAAAGTGCATTAGAATTACAGTAAGGGTGATATGAGGCCCTGGCAATAAAATTATGTTCCTGATTAAACCAGAATCAGAAAGTATTACCATGGAGGATTAAATAAATCTCCTTTGAGTGGAGTAATATTGTTCATGCTGACCAAAAGATGATTGCATCTGAAGGGTGTTACTTGACAGGTAAAATGAGTTTGGCAGTTTTAGGTCTAGTTCCTAGTGAAAAAATGCCTTTCACAGAAGAACTTTAAGTTACCATTGGCTGTCTTGCTAAAATAAACATGCTCTGGCTCAATCATAAGATATTGGCATGATGCGTGGACTTTGGGATGAAAGATCATGGTCATGGTATAGTAGAGGTCAGGTAAAAGGCTCTAATGGTCCTTCTGGCTTTACAATCTACAAAACTGCCATTAGGACACACTCTTGGTGACCCCCATCGCTTGCAGTCTGTGGGGACCAATATCTGTTTTCACATCTAGATACATGAATGCAATCATTATGCAGGAATTATGTGGGACAGAAAGTTCTTCTGCAACAGGAGCTCCTGATGGGTTTTGTAGCTTTGTTGCAATAAATACTAATGTGGAACCACCACTAATGGTTTTACCGGCACTAGTGGCAGGGTGAAATAGAAAGTACCAGCAGCAACTGTTTCTTAGGTTTCTGGCACAAGCCATGAGACTGAGGGCCATCTTGTTTGACCTCTTCCATTTAGAGAGAAGAGAGTGCCCATCCTCCCTTTGCCCCATAGCCTCAGTTTAATTTAGGTAAGTGGGATATTTTGTAAATATTGGTACAGAAGTTACCGTTCCCAGCCTGGCCAGATAGGGGCAGGTGAATATTGGATGAAGTCTTGGATTATGATGAGACTTTCACGTGTATTGGGACCTTAGTATGACACCCTAAGTAGACTCTTGCTGAAGATGCGGCAGCTGTAAACGACAATGCCCAAATCAAGCTAACATATAAATTAGGATATTTCTGCTAGTCTATTTAATGCATGCAGCTTGTGTTGTGTACATGCAACATCCCCCTGCATGGTGTGTGTAAAATATACCCATTCTCATTCTCTTCCCCTCCACTAAGTTTCTTTGCTGACTCAAGTTGAAAAATTTGCAGAGATTCTTTGTGAGACTTTGTCTGAGAACGGATTTAGGGTTTGTCCTTGTGTTAATAGTCTTATGAGATTTTTCTGATGAACTTTTCCTGATCCTTTTGCAATATCTGCAAATTGCCCTTTTCTGCTACATACTGTAGCAGGCTGTGTGAGCTGGCTTTTGTGGCAGTCCCCTAGTAGTGGAAGGCCCAAATATTTGTTTTTATTCCACCTCATTTCAAACTGAGGATTTGCAGTGGGATCACTGTTATCTCTGCTGGCATCCGCTGTTGGTTTTCTAAACTCTCTTTTGGTGGAGAGTGGAGGAGGGACCTAATAGATATTGTGCATTTTCTGTATGAATCATTAATAAAAAAGCTTGCTAGGAAGAAAAGTTGGAGGAGAGAGAACTTCTGCCAGAGAACCTGCCTCTTTAACCTACTCTGCTGGGAACAAGAATGCCAGCCTATAAACTAGAAAAGAACCAATAGATTAGCTAAGGCAGATTTACTACTCTAAGTTTAGTTTGACCTTGCTATAAAAGTTGCCTGTTTTTTGACAACTGGGATATATAAAAATGGTTATTAAAAATATTAGAAGGCTCGATGATGCCTTGCAGTAAAAAGCAAGTGAAAGTAAGTAGAGGCAGGCATCTTCACTGTATCAACATTTTCTTAAAAATAAACCAGAAAAGTTACCACGTTCCCAGGCACGACTTGGCAAAAAGCAGTGTGGGAATGTGCTATAACCTATATTTTAAACGCTATCACTTAATAAGACTTGCATGATTTTTGTGTTTGTACCAGTTTAGAAACATGCAGAGTATAAACAAGTGAACCAGCCAAGAGCACACAGAAGGCAGGAAGCAATGCTGAGCAACAAGCAATGCCAGCCTGGAAATACAGGTGGAACTGCAGCATTTATTAGCATGCTCTGTCTTACTAGGATTACTTCTGTGAGTGAGGGGTTGCAGGCTTGGACCCACATGCCCACTCCTGTACAGCGCTCTTTGTAGGTGCGGGGGTGTGTTACCGATCAGGGGCTCAGACTGCAAGCTCTTTGAGGCAGCACCGGTGGGACCCCATTTGTCTCGAGAGTACTACATAATTATAGTGCTGTATAACGCCAACAAGTTGGTATATTAAGGCAACATTTCAAATTTCCAGTCAACTCAGTGTCAGTCTTAACCTTGACCCAAAATAACATTAGCATAAATCTGACCTACACCTGGTTACTTTTACCCACACCCTTCCACTACCTCAGGCATAGGAGGAATGAGGAAAAGCTACATATTTCAATAACAAGGCAGCAGTCACCACCCATGCTCACAGATACTTGACTCTACAGTTGCCTCCTCTCTTCAAAGATACCAACACCTCAAAACCTTGGTTCTTTTCATAATGGAGAGCTTGATTATATACCTATACCAGAACTAGTTCAGTAGAGAGGTGTGATGAATGATGGAACCAATATATTTTTTGGCTGCATAAAGAGGCAGATTTATACAGTGTGCAAGGAAGAGAGACCAACTGGGACTGACAGTCAGATTGGCTAGCATTACTGAAGGGGGCTGTGCTAGTTCCTTAAGGAAAAATAACTCAAAAGTCATCACCACACCCCAGACAGACTTTAATCCACAAAAAGGAAAACTGCATTGCTGACAAGCCTGGTTAATAAACTCTACTTTGCAATTCAAACAAGAGGGTCTGACTTCTGTTTTGGGCCAGTCTGGACAGACAGGCCATTCCTGAACTGTTTTAGGCTAGGTTTCCTGCACCTCATTTGGGCAGAGGACCATGTTCTTCATTCATCCCCATCAGCTAACTTTCAGCTCAGATCCTCCCATGTGTCTCTGGCCCCATCTCTGGTCACAGAGCCAGTTGTGATTATTTTGTTATGTAATGATGAAGTCAGACCCCTGGTTAAACCAGATGCAAATAGGATTTTTCTGTGGGAATCAGCACTCTCTCCCTGCCAGTTTCTCCCATTTGTTATCTATACTGTTAAGAAGAACAACTGAATATAGGCAAGGAATTGGGAGTAAGAGACTGCAGAAACAGAGTGAAACCCGTTAAACATCTAGACTGCATTCAGATGTTAAAAAACCGATGTTTTACTTTAAACTTGGCGCGTTCTTGCGCTGAGCCCAGTGCATGCCCAGAAGAGGCAGTGCATCAGTGGACCTGGATTGCCCAACATCTGTATAGATTGGGCACTTGAGTGTGTCTTTTTTGGTGTTTTATTTAATAGCTGATTGAATCAGCTTTAGCTAAAAGTGCCAAAAAGCCCTACTGAAGTGCCTGATCAGATACTGCAGAGCCCGGTCGAAGCTGCATCTTCCAGTAAAGCTCATGTGTTTTGTTTTTTAAACATTTGTAAGCAGTCCTAATTCTAGATGTTAAGTCAGGGGTATCTAGCTAAGAACTTGTATGGTCCCCATTGCCACAGAATATGAGCCCCTTTTGAGGTAGAGAGGTGGTATCATCCCCATTTTACAGATGGGGAACTGAAGCACAGAGAGGTTAAGTCACCTGCCCAAGGTCACACAAGCACCTTTCTTTTAAAATGGATGCTCTATTGTTCCTAAGTGCTAATTCAGAGAATGCAGGTATTGACATGTTATCAGCAGACTTGGTGAAACCTTTGTGGGTGTCTTTACACATGCTCGGGGGGGGGGGACGGGACGGCGCTTTAATTAGAGCGGCTTGCAGGAGCTGCTCTAATTAAAGCACCTGCATCATCTTGTGTATTCAACATCCTGTGCTTCAAAATGGTGCTAGGTGCTTTAACTAAAGCTCATTCAATGAGCTTCAGTTAAAGTGTCCCTGCCACCATTTTCAAGTGGGGATGATGAAAACATGTGATGCCGAGACTGCTGGAGTGTGCTAATTAGCACACTCCAGCAGACTCGATTAATTGAGTCTGCTCTATTGCATGCTAATTAGCAAGCATTGGAGCAGGTGTCGGGCACGTGTATAGGTAGGTGCCTTTTGTTATGCCCTGTTGCAACTGTGCAATGTCTACAGCAATCGGTATCACCAGCTGGTAAAAGGTTGGGACATTTCCAGTAGCAGGCTATGTGAAAAAAAAAGTACTAAGTTTAAATGAAGCAAATACCTCCAAACATACTGAAAGCTCTCTCCTACTTCCTGGGAGCACCTACTACTGGACCCTGCCTTTTCAATCAGCTGCAATATAAATGCAGTAGATGACTTAATAAATGAACTTTTGGCTATCAGGAGAGATGTCAGTGTTTGCATTGCATCAGTCCAGAGATATACCATTCTTACAGCTTCTCAGTGCCTGATTCCAAGCTCACTGGAGTTAACAGAAAGATTTGATTTCACTCATTTAACTTGAGCTGTGGCGTGCCGTGTTTGAAGTGCTGGGGGCTTCCGTCTCCCACGATGACTGAGATGACCATCATTTTGTGTGCACAGGTTTAGAATGAATACACACATGTTTTTATTGCTCCTTTGAGGAAGGAACACCACTGCAGATTCAAATCAAATGCAGCAGAATGCAGAGAGACAGAATGCACAACATGTTGCTGGGCTAATACTATTTTAGATATACAAAATGAAACAAGTGCAAGTTTTTGGAGCACAGTAACCATCCCTGTAGAAAGAAAGTGAAGGACAGATGGACAGAGACACGCAAACTGGTTTCTCAAACTCACTCGGACACCTGTCATTCCGGGATATCCAGGAGGCCCCTCCTTCCCCTTCAGCCCTTCAGAACCTTTTTCTCCTCTCTCTCCTTCTGGGCCTTGTTCTCCTTTGTCTCCCTGTGAAAGAATGGAGGGTGTGAGCTTTTCAATACCAACAAACCACCGATCAAACATGGCTCTTGCCAGAAAACAAAATGAATTTAATAGTCAAGTTTGAACTATTAAATGAATACTGAAATATTAAATATTGAATGAATACTGAACTATTAATTTAATATTTCAAACTTTCATGTCTAGAAAGACAGGCACTCAGCCATGGGAGAGGTCAGTTTGAACCCTCTAGTCCCTATAAAAGAACAAAACAGTAGTTTCCCACACAGAATGAGAAAGTCAGATGAAATGTCAAAAACAGAGTCTCTTGATTCAACCAAAAGCCCCAGAGTTTTGTATAGTTGCAAAGTTTGCCGACACTGGCCTGCTGGAAGAGGTTGTGGGAAGCACCTCGAGTCCAGAATGAACATGCTGTAGAACAATGTCATCTTGCTCCCATAAAGGATTTGCAGCTGCAGTGTGAGGTGCAAAGACTTGTGTCAAAATGCTGTTCTCATGATGGATTACATGGCTTGTTTGGGGGAAAATTTAAGGGTTAAAGTCTACTCTTATAGCAGTTTTATACCAACTGACCTCAGTGGAGTTGGTTCTGATTTACACTTGCCTTAGTAAAAGTAGAATCGTGTCCTTTATACACTGTTGTTAAACAAATATTTGCACAATGAACAGCAACGGTTCAGTTGTCCGGAGGAACACATAGGTTGGGAGGAACTGGAATGGTTCAAGGCCTCTTGGAGATGAAACAGCACCATGGCAAGAAAATATGAAATACTCGATCACCTTGTAAGGAGGGAGCATTTGATTTGATATCCAGCATTAAAAAGAACGAGAGAAGCAATAAACTGCAAGCCTTTGCTGTGGGACTGGCCAGTTTTACTTGCCATGGAATAAAACTCTTGTTCTATTTGGACTGATGGGCTACATGAACACAGAAATTTGGACTGGATTCCAAAGGCAAGGTGACAAATTCAGAGGAGTTTGAGAAATGATGCAATGAAAGGATGAATCAGCGGTTGCAGGTACCACCAAGAGGAGGAGGAATTTATTACATCACTTGCAAATAGTGATATGGCCAGTGGGGCTGTTAAAATCTCCAGACACACCTTGATTTCCCTAAGGAATTTTTGATCAGTGAAAAATATAATCTGTGGAAACGGACACAAGCAAAATGAGCTGTTGCCACTAGTTTTTGAAGAAGAGTTTGACCTTTCTGGAGATCTCTGAGGAAGCTTATGAGCTGCACCAAAAATGTGGGTAGAGGTGCAAAAATTGAATTGGCATAACAGCATGTGGACTTGGGATTTTAACATGTCCTGGGTGCTATCCAGACATAAAATGGGTCCCTAACCCTGCAGCACAAATGTAAAGATGCCCCCAGTTGCTGTGTTTCTGAGGACTGAATTTGGGAGCTTTGGATCTAAGTGCAGGAGCTTCTATTGGTTGAGTGGAAGGACCAGTTGCTTCAGGGCACCTGTTGATTCAAACTTCTTTATGAGGTCCAAGCCACTGGAAGAAGTTGATGCAGTATTGCATTAAAGACATTACATGTTAAATGAAATCTGCGTCTATGTAAGTGGGAAAGCTAGAGGCCAAAGTAATGCTGTGATGAGGAAAAGTCCAAAAGCATCATCTTGGAGGGGCATTGAAGGATTGACGTGTTGGAATCCCTTGGTCAAGAGCATGTTTTGGGGGAGCATAGGAGGCAGAGAGGCATCCCTGGTAGCTGCATATTCCTGTCACCACTGGGGAGCTGTTGGAGTCTTTGGCAGACAAGATTTTAAAGACCCAATCTAATTCTGGCTGAGGATGGCATCTCTCATGGAGGAGGTAAAAGGCTTCTTCAGCTTCCTTTTAATTTCTGGCTGGATGGCAAGGGAGAAGAATGTGGATTCACTTCCCAGAGACTGGACCGCCAGTGAGTTTGTACAGAGAAGAGAATATGATGGAAAAGGCTGTTGTTAGCCAGAAATTTGGTAGAAGTTGCTCTCATCCATCCAGGTGGGGCGGTATAGACCACACAGCAAAGAAAGGCCCACCAAGCAACCCTGTAAGGCTCCAATTAGACTCGAGTTTGGCTGAAAGCATCTACAACTTCCTGCCATACACAAAGCCTTGGGAGTGGTTGTTTATAGAACAGAAATAGTCTGGGAGAAGGGGGGCTGATCAGAGTGGTACATAGGCAAAGTCTGAGAGGGCCTGGATCAGAGAAGTTACAGTCACTTAATGGAAACCCAGAGCTGGGGGTTGATGGGGGCACATAGGTTTCCAACAATGCAAGATAAACCCAGCAGCTAACAAAGAAGGGAAAGGTCTTCCCTGGATTCCTGCGAGGTCATTCTGGGATTGCTCCTCCAACCCTAGCTACTGGGCTGGGCATAGGGAAGGGATCTGTGGTACATGAGTCTTGGGGCCGGGGTCAGGTAGCTAGTTTAGTGCTTTTGCTTGGTACTTGGTCTTTCTGGCCCTTTTGCAGAGGGGGACTACATAGAAACCTGTGGACCAGGAACATGCTGTAAAAGGGAGTTTTACCTTCACACCATCTGGTCCGAGTGGGCCGCTGTCCCCTTCCAGTCCTGGCTCTCCCTGCAACAGAGACAGAGCAGCTTAGTACAGTGTTTTCCACCATCTTTGTGTCTCACACTTTCATCAGCCAAAACCTTTCAGAATGGGAATGACTTCCCATTGCAACAATGGGAGCTGAATGCTGAGTGTTCCCAGTGCAAATATCCTTGGTGCAGGTTATAAAAACTGTACTGCCAGGTGTGGGCTGACAGGCTTTGTCCTGATCAGTGTGATTTAGGACTATGGTCAAGAGGGAAAAAGGATCAAGCTTTTCCTGGACTGAGAGAAGACCCTTTCTCTCTCCTTGATTAGTTCTGGGATTCCCTCTCAACAGACTGCATCCCTGACCTGCAGGAAGCCCACTCTTCTCTTGGTTGAGGGGTTATTTTAGTTTCTGTATTCATCCTGCCTGGAGTTCCCCATCTTGCTCCAACAACTGACCTCTGTCCTGAGATCAAGGGATAAAAACCACTGGCCTGGTTCAATCTGTGCGTTCATTCAAACTCTGGCTCCCTCCCACATATTCATACTGTATGCAGTGTTTTCCCTATTAATGCTGTCCTTTACCTAGAGAATTTTCCTGCCACTTGTAGTTGCTCACACCGAGGCAGTGCACAACTCGGGAACAGAATAGCCTTGTTTGTATATAGCCCCTTTCATACCTGGAGGAGCTCAGAAGCACTTTAAAACATAGCATGTCCAGTACCAATTGCATAATTACCCTGAAGGCAAGTGGAGCTCACTGATAACTCCCATGCAGCTATCTGTTTTTATTGGGAAGAAATGGCCAGGATACTGGATCATCCTCCACATTGTTATAAAACTCTCCCTGTGATCTTTGTGATTTTTAGCTAGACTTTTTCAGAGGTGACAACAGATCTTAAATGGACCCCATCACTGTGGGGTCAGAGGATATATGCTGGAGAATGTACATCTTTGCAACACCTCTAGGGTGTGGGATTTTCCCTATATCACAGTGGAGGAACAGGGATTACATTATTCACCTAAAAGAGCAGGTACACAAATTGTGAACTGAATGCAAACCCCTAACTCCCAGGCCAGTGCCTTCATTTCAAGACTGTCCTTCCTTTTATGGTACAACCTTCACTCCCATCCTAGCCACAGCTATACCACTACCATGGGCCCATGCGATTATGGCAATGATAAAAGATTGTAGGATAAGATCCAATTCCAGGATATGCTGTCCCAGGGGTAAAAATGTGCTACTAGCTGAAGACTCATTTAATCCCATGCCACTGCAGACACATAATGGCTTTTCCAAAGATTGGGAGTATAAACTCACCACCATCCCCTTCTACACCAAGCTGTGCACCATGTTGCAGCCTGCTCAGGTAGCAGAGTCCACAAAATGAAGAGGACTCCAGTAAGAAGTTAACCGTACTTACTCTTTGACCAATGAGGCCTTGTTCTCCTGGGACCCCCAGTTGTCCTGGATCACCCTAAAAAACACAGACACAATCTGCTTGTTGACAGTATTAGATACACAGGGTGAGGGTGACTCTCTCCTCCCTCACTGCATACACTTATTTCTTACTGTGTTTTGACTTGTCCTTTATCTGATTCAGTTCAAATGTGATTGTCCAATCTTTGTGTGGGTGGGTGGGTGGGTGGGGTGGGGTGTCAGTGGGGTACCTAGAGTCCCCTTCAGGATCCAAGCTGCTCACCACCTTGGGGCAAGTTCTAGGCTGGCACACACCTTGCAGAGTATATCTGATTGCTACACAATAGGCCGAGGAATTGGCACAGCTGGTAGCAATCAAAAAAGTGGACTTTTGCAAATACAGAGTCAAAAGAAACTCCCTGTGCCCCTCATACAAGGGAGCGGTTCCACGCCAGCTTATTACAGTAGCTGAGACACCAGAAGCTGGGGCTTAATGCTGCACCACAACAGACATGTAACTGGCCTGAGGAGAGGGAGAGCACACACATTCCAGGAAACAGCAGTGTGATCCTTAGCATGACTAAGCATGGCTAAGAAGAATGGGAATTAAAGGTACTGCAGGAAAGAGGGACCCGGAGGTGCCCCTGGGGCTGGCAATTAAGCAAATAGATTTTGGTGAAGTGTTAGGGGCGAGGGGGTGCAGTCTGCTTTACGTCCAGATCCACTTGGCAGTTTTGCAAAGAATTCCATGCAGGAAGCATTTCTTTTCTCGCCCAGCGCCCTGCCTCCGGCCTCTGAAACACCAAGCATCGTTCTAAAACTAGTCCTGCCTGGGACTTTCCATTGTACATCTGCACAGGGCTTTTCACTCCAAAGTGCTCTTCAAGCTATGTACGTATGTAGTCTCACAGGGATGCAGCCAGCAGCCAACCAGAGCAGGAAGAGATGTGCAAAGTATAAGAAAGTTTGGCCACAGAGGCCTGCTCTGTAGTGGCCTGTTCCACACTCACCACCCTGCAGCTCCAGCATGCACAGCTCGAGGATCATTACTGCTTTGAGAGGTCCTAGTATGTCCCAACCCTTGCGAGGCCAAGGAGAGGAGGGCAGCGGGATTCTCTCAGGCTGTGAACTCACTGCAAGGAGCTATTGTGCTAAGGCTGGTTAAGCGGCAGCCCCTGACATTTCTGCATTGCCAGAATGCTCCTCTCCTTCCTTCCTTCCTTTTCAATCAAGCTCAAGTAGTAGGATATTGTCCAACAGGTTCAAAAGCTTTTTCTCAGGAACTAGCACTGCGAACAATATGCTCATGTTTGGCCAACATTCCTTGTCAGCCTGGCTCACCAGAGGATACGAGCACCTGCCCTCCTTCCTGCTCACAACGGGAGCTGAAGGAGAGCTGCCACTGTGAGTCTCGTAGATGGGGATGCTGGCTCTCTGAGAGGATCAATGGCGTTCTGTTCCCCGGGAAGGTAATTAAGGCGCTGAGTGGCAGGCAGAAGCAGTAGAGCTGAAACATTAGAGGAGTATCAAGGATCCAAAGACACAGTAGCTCCAGTGATGTGTCAGAAGGCTTGCCAAAGAAAACGTGGCAAGGGCTGGGAGTGGCGGGGGGGAATTGTATTTAATCCCAAAATTACAGGCAGTTTGAGAATGTCTACACAGTAGCACCCTTCAAAAACCAAGGGGAGCATGGAAAATCTCTGAGCTGCTCTGCACAGAGATCACATTTAACTCCAGCGATAAAAGTTACAAGGCTCATTCAGAGGAAAAGATGCATTTGCAGTCCCACAGCAGTGCAGCAAGCCAGTTCTTAAGCATGCCCAGGGCATAGACTCTTCTTTTTTCCAAAGCTATGTTATGCCCCAACATCCCAGTCCTCAGGCTCCTCTTTCTGATTTTATGCCTACGTGCCAGCCCAGCTTTTCCACGTGAATAAAGTAGCTGGATTATAGGTTTGCAATGAGCCTTGGTTTCTGCATCAGGGTCTCCCTTCCTCAGTTTCCCTCACTACCCAAAACAGAGGTCAAAGGGCTCCTGCACGTGACCTTTTTTATCAAAGAGCTACAGCAGCCCACACTGGGGAATCGGGGGCACAGGAAATCTGGTAAAATAAAGGATTTTCTTCACTGAACTATATCAGCCAGCTTTGGCTGACAGAGGGTTAACCAGCTTGTCCACTTCTACAGTACATACCTATCTACAGTATCTAACCTTAGCAGTTTGACCTTGCCCACTGTAACTAGACAGGCTGCCCCCACCGTCCCTTCACGTGATACCTTCTTCCAAAACACTGCCTGTGTCCTTTAGCGAGCTGGTGTAACAGCAGACTCCCAGCCAGAACAAAAGCCTCTATTATCTCTCTCCCGTAGAAAAGCAGTGCTAAGTGTTTTTCTTACCTTCATACCAGGTTCACCTGGAAGGCCAGGTTGTCCCATTGAGCCAGGCGGTCCCTGTGGAAAAAAAAATGTTGCTAAGTGGAGAGGAAGATCAAAGACTTAATCCCTTTAGCAGAGCACTTTGGGGACAGAGGAGCCCTGGTTGCAGTGTAATTACCTCCCTGGAACTGGCTTAGTGTGCACAAAAGTCAAAGAACAAGCCAAGTGCCTCTTTGTGTCCTGTTTCCACAAGGGTGTCTCTCCTCGCCTACTCCCCACAAGCCTGCAACACACTCCTGACCTTGCTTTCCAAGCAGTCTCCCTCTAACTCCTTCAAACTCCTGGCGGTATTCAAGGGCTGATCTCCAGCCCTGGGAAAGAAAAAGAAGGAAGGGAGGAGCCCAAGCCTAGACTTAAACACTGTATATAAAGATCACATGTAGAAGGTAAGATGCTGGGTCACAAAAACATTCATCTTCTCTCCACTCTTGTCATCTGCCCCTTTGTTTTAACAGACTCAAAGGCCCAATCTGTGCAGTCTTTGTACCAGTATAACAATTCTACTTAATGTCCACTCCCAGTGTGAATGCAGTTACAGCAGTATGAAGGAGCCTTATATTGGTATAGCTTACTCCACATCTCTTACAGGGCAGGCTATACCATTATATACCAGAAAAACTATGTCCACCTGAGTGGGGGTAGATGGAAGGGATTGATCCAGTATAGTTTAAGTGGCATAATGCGTGTGTGGTAACTAGGACTAGTCCACTTGGGTCAGGGATGAGGTCTCCAATTTGTCCATCAAGTGCTACCTACCTCCTGTCATGGGGAGGAAAGGGAGTGAGGAACAGCAAAGTTACACTGGAGGTGGGTGGAGCTGGTGCCCTGGGGCAGAGCCCTTCAGAAAGAGCTTGCCAAACTTCTGATCTGACATTTGAATTCACCATCTCCCTTGTCTGGCTCTAGGAGAGGTTCAAGACCCCAGAATTATGAGAAGGGTTGGAGTCAGATCTATAGCCACCCCACAGTTAAGCTGTGTTAGATGAAAGAAAGGAGCTGGAAGATGGGATAACACAGGCCCTTCTCAGAGCCTATGCACTGAGGACACATGGAAAGCAGCAACTCCCAGCAAGCCTTGATTAAACACTTGCTGGAAAGTGAGGAGTAGGGAAGTGGTAGCAGCACATGCTACCTGTCTCTCTGCATTTTCCTTCCAGGATGTGTTTAATGTTGGTATGAGGAGGGTAAAGCTCACGTAACACCCCCTGCATCCCAGTGATGAGGGGGAGTGGTGTCTTTAATCTTTGCACATTTTACACTACTTCCTGCCAGCTCAGGGAGTGGGAATCAGTAAGACAAGCCCAAAGGTGGCACAGCAAAAATGGCCCTTACAGGGTTGTTTAGTTATTTGTTTATGGCATTTTCTCTCCAGACCACAATCTCCCTCTTCACTGAAGCTCAGAAACAAGAGCTCATAATCACAGGAGGTCTCAGCAGCCAGGGGAATGAAGCCAGTTTCCAGCTTTATGAATTGAAGGTGGAGGGGTGTGGGGGCATGGTGGGTGTAGGAAAAATGTGGGAATGTCCTGCAGTGAGAAAAACCAAGCTCTGGTGAAAGTAAAACCACCCTGTCTTGGTTTTTCCAATAGTGCAGGTCCAAGAGAGAGGCTGCTGGAGGAGATATACTAATATATGTAGCTCTGTGCTTTCATGGGAGGCAAGGACCTAGAGTGCTCAGTAGTAGCTTTCCAGATCCCCAGTGTGGTTTACCTCACCGCGAGCTTGCTCCGTCCAGTCTAGCAGGCATGAGAATGGAAAAAAAATCTCATGACTCATAAATTTTGCAGTGGGCTGTATTAAAAGGTACCTTCACTGCTGGTTTCAGCACTGAATGAACATCTTGACTATATTACAGTCTCAGGGCAATTGAGAGGAGCTACATGCAGATCAGGACTGACATGATCAGCTGGGACCGTAGAGGTGGATGCTCTCCAGGTTCCAGGAGAATGAGGAAACTTTATTGAGTAAACTTTTGCCATGCTCTACTCCCAAATCTGGGGGCAACATTCAAGAATAGTTCCCTTACTTTTTCTGCAATATGTCACTTTGGCTTCATGGCCATGGCAACACCAAATAAATGTGGTCTGCAGCACAGGCATTTCCTGAGGTCTCCTTCATCCAGTCATAGGAGTTAGATTGAGACTGGGTTTAAAGATCAGAACATGTCAAGACTGGGATGAGTAAAATGGTAACCAGTCAGAGATGGGAGAGAGACTTAGAGACTTAGAATGTGGCCTTACTCCAGATTTTTCTTGTTTGCTGCATGTCTGACTATACAACAGAGTGAACATGTAGTTCCTAATCGATGGGTGGGTCTACACGAGATACTTTACTGCGCAGTAGCGTAGTCTACTACACAATAAGCATGTGCATCTACACTTGCACACACTTACTGCGCAGTAAACCTCACTAATCACAAGTAAACCTGCTACTTGCAAGTGCAAGTAGCAAATTTGTTTGTGATTACTTACTGCACAGTAGTGCTCGTGTAGATGCCCTACCAGGAGCAAATCAGCTCTCAGTCAGCTGGTGGCAGGAGATTGCTCTCTGCCCCTGAGAGCTGCCTGCTGCCGGGGCAAGCTCCACCACCAGAGCCTGGCTGAGTACTATGTCCCCCTGCCCCAGCAGCAGGGAGCTCCAAGCCCCTGCTCCAAGATTGCAATCTTTATATCTCCCAGCCTCTGCTTGGCTATGATGACTGGGGTGTGGGGGGCTGGCAGATCCTTATCCCCCAGCACCAGCTCCGTGACCATGGGGCTGGTACTGGGAGATCCACATCTCCCAGTTGCAGCTCCACAGTCATGGGGCTCAAGCTGAGAGATCCATATCTCCCAGTATCAGCTCCGTGATCGCGGGGCCAGCACTGGGAGATCCTTATATCTCTCAGCGCTGGCTCTGCAGTCATGGAGCTGGCGCTGGGAGCTGCTTGCTGGTGGGGGCTGGGGAACCTGCTTCCTACCCAGCTGCATGATTGTGGAGCTGGGTGGGGAACAGGCTGGGGAGCCTGCTCCCCGCCTAACTCTGAAATCATGGAGTTGAGCAGGGAACAAGCTTTCCAGCCTGTTCCCCACCCAAGTCTGTGATCACAAAGCTGAGTGGGGAACAGGCTCCTCAGTCCCTGTCCCGTGATTGTGGAGCGGGGGCTGGGAATTGATCTGGTGATTGAGGCACAGGACTTGGAAAGAGTTGCAGGGATGGGGTAGATCTGCTGGTGGGGCAGTTAACAGTGAGCTAGCTACTAGCTGCCCCACTGGCGGATCAGGGCAGGGGGCTGGGACTTCTCGCTCCTCTGTAGCTCTTTCCAAGTCCCCTGCCTCCAATTCAGGAGCCAGGCCCAGGAGCTCCCTGCTGCTGAGGCAGGGGGACATTGTCCTTGCCCTGGCAGCAGGCAGCCCCCCCAGGGGCAGGGTGCAATGTCCCAGTCCCAGTTAGGAGACAGCTGTCTCCTGGCCTGGTGCTCCCTGCCACCCCCTGGGCTAGCACCCAGGGGGAACCTACAGTCCCCCCTGGTGGCAGCAGGGGCCCACTGCAGGGCCCTAGGAAGTGGGAGCAGTTTGCTGCCCATTAGCAGCAAATCTGCTCCTGCTTCCCTGCACGTGTGGATGCCTGCCTGGGAGTGTTTACTTGTGAGTAGTTTACTTGAGAGTAAACTGCTACTGGATCTAATGCATGTGTCAAAACACCCACTGGGCAATACCATGTTTGGTCCTGCTTGTAAAGAGGACTTTAAAATGCTGCTTCTCTTATGTAGACTGGACTGCCCCTCTAGCAATAGGGGCTATCCAATCTCCTGCCTCCTAGGTGTCTATGGGAGACCAGCCCAAAATGCATCGCACCACAGGATCAATGCTTAGCTACCGGTTTCAAGGGATGAAGCTATATGAGGTGCATTGCCAAAACTTTCCCAGAATGCTCTTGGGTCTGTAGGGTGGCAGGAACATGAGACATACCTGCTGCACATAAATGTGTGTGTGTGTGGACATATTCAACTATGTTACCTACAGCTAGGGCAGACCCTAGTTAATCCCAACACGGCTCTGTCTGTACTGTGGATGAGACCTGGATTTGTGATGTTTGTCTTGCCCTCTTCACACGGACTTTAGAACTAGTTTCAAACTTATAAAACACACAGAAATCTTCTCTTTCTCCCCATGACTTCAAGAGCTTCTATTGGGATGCAAGGCTAGAAATGGGACTGTGCAGCTACTACTCCTTGATTCTACCATTCTGGGTGGGTGAGGGAGGAATGCAGCAGAAGACAGATGTTGTGCAAAAATTGGCAAAGATCACACTCTACCTTATGTCCGATTTCTCCCAAGGGTCCAGGTCGCCCCTGTGGTCCCTGTGGCCCCTGCAAGACAGACACAAAGCTCCCTTCATGCAGCCATTTTAAATTCTGAAGAGCTACCCCCTAAGTATACTAGTGGAAAGTATAGTTAGCGTTTTTCTTGGGCTGCTCTCCTTGCAGCCCAAGGAAACTGCAAAGGTGTTCAGGAGAAGGCCACAGTGGTAAAAGAACCAGGAATGGGCAGCAAAGTACTTGAACAGCAGCAAACAATGAGTCAAAAGAACATTTAGGGTCAGAAGAGGTGAGGTGACTGAGCTGGTAATGTTAGTGTCCGTCCTCTAATCCACTCGCACACATCCCTACTGTATTTCCATTCCTACAGTGACAGAACCCTCCTTCAGCTATGCCACAGCCTTGCTTTGTCACTCCAAGACTGCAGCCCTTTCTAGTCTATCAGGCTCTGACCTGACCCCTGGACGGATGGATCCTGGATGGAGTCAGGCCCTCTTCCTCCATTTTTCTGATAATATCCAATGTATCAAATTCACTGTTCTCAACAACATGGCCTGATCCAGCCCATCCTCCCAGATACAGAACTCTCTGGGTTTGTCTTCTAACAAGCTGACGAATGTCTGACCAGGTCTTTCCTGAGGAGTCTACTGGACTAAGACTGTCATCTTTGCCAATCCTCACTGCACACATTTGGTTTATTATTTAACACTCAGGATTTCTAAGACCAGGACCTTATTGTGCTATGCAGACACATAGGAAGAAACCATTCCTGCCCTGAAGAGTTTACAGATAAGACAGAAGGACAGAAAATGGGATGGGAAGGCAGGAGTACTATCCCATGTTACTATGCCATTTTACAGATGGAGAACTGAAGTATTAGGATTCCGGGATGGGATTCTCTTCCCTTATTAGTATGACTTTGTCCCACTCTGTTCAAGTCCCAGAAAGTCCAGTAACACATCTACTACAGTAATGCACCATCATTTTACCCACAGGACTGAGTCACTATAAAGCAGCAAGGAGGAGGAGAACCTAGCCACTTTTGACATTAGCTTTTTTCAGGGACTCCAGCAGGGGGAACAGAATTGGACTTCGGTACGTAAGTTCATGCACGCGTCTAGTAAGTGGACTAGGACTTGGCCCTAAGTGACTTGCTGAGTTTCACAACTCGGGGAGTCTGTAGCAAATTCAGAAACTGAACCCAGATCTCCTAAGCCCCGTCCAGGACCTTCACTACAAAACTATCTGTTGTTTCCAGTGCTCCCCAGTCTGCTCAGGTCTGCTTTTTCAGCCATTCCTTACACAAGCTCTCAATCTTACCTTCAGTTCTCTGGCAGAGTCAGATCCAGTCTCTTTTCTAATTTTCCATTTATAATCTAACTTGATCCCCTTTATTCTTCCAGAATCCAGCCTTATCCCTCCTTCCTGCTTCCCTGCTAGGTCCAGCCCATTCTGCACTCTGCACTCTCCCTGGCTAATTAAGTGCTTTCTTCAGCTTTTTTAAGGTCTGCTTTCATTCTTCCTCCCACCTTCCTGGTCCCTGCCGGAAGTCCATCTAAGCTGGATTCACCAGGAGGGGAGGGGGGAAGACTGGGGACAAAGATCTGGAAGAGAAGGAAATGAGAGGAGGGAGAAAGAGCCAGACATATGAAAGGAGAATGAGAAGAAACTTGCCGGGTCACCAGGAGCCCCTTTAGGTCCTTGGGGTCCAGAAGGGCCTTGGATACCCTAGAATAATGAAAGACACCGTGATCAGCTCCTAAGCGTTTATACCTCCCAGCATGTCACATTCACCTCATAAACATTTAATAAGAGAAACACAGAGGTTTTCCTTCAGCCCATCACTGAGACACTGTTCAGGCTTCTCCTTCTGGGGCAGGAACCAAACTGAAGGATTCCAGTTAAAAATTAGTTGATAAAATGAAATCAAAGGTGTTTGGCACTTACGGGAAAGCCACGTGGTCCTGTCTCCCCAGTCTCTCCCATCGCCCCCTGTAAACACACGGTGACTGGAATTAGAGGCGAAGAACTTGTGGGAAGGCTCTGGGGCAGCTTGGCCAGGACAGCCTCTCAAAACTGCAGTCTGCAGTAGTAGGGACTGTGCATGCATGTGTGCACACTTGTGTGGGGCTTGGCACCCTGCCCATTTGCCACCCAGCACCAGCTCTCCCATGGACGTACCTGCTGCCCATCTGGCCCCATCTTGCCTTGCTCTCCCGGGTGGCCCTAAAAAAGACAAAGGCATCAACATCAGCACAGGCCATGAGACAGAGGCTGTTTAATGACTAGCTGCCCCTTATGCCCAAGTCTTCCTGTCCTCTGAATCACCAGCAGAAAGCCTCAGGGTCAGTCGTTTGCCCCCTGCCAGCATGTTAAAGGGCAGCCGAGTGGCATGTGCGCGGTCTGTCCTCTGCTATTAGGGAACATCCCTGCCTCGTGTGGCATTTGGAGTGTGCGGGGGCTGCACAATTCAATGTTTGGTGTCCAGGAAGAAGCTAAAACCCGCAAAGGACTGAAGAAACTCCCTGCCTCTGGTGGGGAGGCAAAAATTGCAGCATATTTAAAACTGCGTTTTTTTCTTCCTTGGCGATCAGCGGCAGATGGCCTAGCCAGCAGAGCCCCTCCGCCAATCTGGGCTGGGGTGGGGGCAAGCGGCGAAACAATAAAAATTAAAGGAGCTGCTGAGAGGGGGCACGTCCTCTGTGATTTACAGAGATCCCTACTTATAGGGAGTTCCTCCATCCGTAGAGAAACTAGGCCATTCCTCAAAGGGGGTTGCCTTGCCAGCATCCATCTGGGGATAGGCCTGTTTTATGAAGCTGCTCAGCACACTCTGTGTGCATAAAAAAATCCTGCCTAATGCCCTATTCTGGCCTTACTGTACAGCAAAGGCAGAGTGTGGGGAGGATAACAGTCCCATTTGCCTTTGATTTATACTCTGTGGGTGAATCCTTAAGTGAACAGGCATGGCAAGGCCTAGTCATCATGCAGCTTTTGTACCACTCTTGATTACTAATATAGTTTGACTGGTCAAATCCCAGATGTAGACTCAGTTTAAGGATGCGTTATGCTGCTGTAGCTTGTTCCCTTTCCTAACGGAACTCCATCATACTGACATAAGCATCTTTACGCTGGTAGGAGTGTCCCTCCACTTGGAAGGTGGGCTGGGGGTTGTACTGTTTGACTGTCCCAGTACAGTTGCAGCAGCACAGCTTGTGTGTGTGCAGACAAGCCCTGGGTTACCTTATGGATGCCTCTCACTTGAACAGTGAGGACTTTATCATGCTCATCTCTGAGCTTTCATTTCTGCCCAAAGGCGTATGCCTGGCCAAAAGCTTACCCAACATTTCTTTCTTGGGTCCTCCTGGCTTCTCTGCAGATGGAAAAGGTTTTGGGAGACCAGGCAATTAGCATTGCTACTGGTAGGGCACTGAACCAGTGTGAACAGATCCTGATGCTGTGAGACAGCGGAGTGGCTGCATGTTTGGGGAGAGCCAGGTTCTTTAACTCTAGCAAGCCTTGATGGTGGCAAGGGTCAGATCCTGGGAGCTGAATTTAAGGAGGGTTCTGCCAACATTGTGGAAGGCAACGTGCATTGCTACACAGAGGAACAGTGCCTGGGCTAAATGCTGCTGGCTTGCGCTCCATGCTCGGTGTGAATGGAATTAAAGCTATTCAACTTCATTGCAGCCTTCTAGATCCTGATGGCATCAGGAAAGGCTGAGAGCAGCAAGAGGGTGGTGATGGGAGACATCTCGATTCTTTCTTGGGCCAGGAGGGGAGCTATTAAGCATGCTCACAAGTGGTTTTATCTTACCTTGACACCTTGTGAACCTGGCTCCCCTGCTGGCCCATCAGGGCCTCTGGCACCCTAGAAAATAAAAACGTAAAAAATACTGGTAAAAAAGGAAAGAAAAGAAAAGAAAAGAGAGAGGGGGAGGAGAGAGCAGAGATCCATACCATGACTGATCAGCAGGTGTCTCTCTTGTGCAGCTAACAGACTTGGCCACAGGGAAGGATCCCAGCTTCCCCCATGCAGCCTGACCTCCCCACTGCCCTCCTACCCACTTCGACACACTTGGGGCTGGGAGCAGGCTGGCTCCGAGAAACAGACACCCTTATTTCACTCCCACCCCTTTGTCCGATTCTTTGCCTTCATCCTCCCTGCTTTTTGCCTACAGGGATGTACAAGAGGAGAAGGGTGATGGGAGTCCTGCTTGGTGGGTGATGCTGTTTAGTCACCTTAATTCTCTTCTCTTAACTCTCAGGGTGCTAGCTCTTTACACCCAGATGAATGTGCACGTACAGCATAGCTGTGGTGTTCAACGGGTTTAAAAGGCTGGGTTTATTGGTCTGTTTGTAACATTCACCTTGGAGTCAAGGCTGCTCTCTTGCTACAGTGCTCCTCATTGCAAGACTCATCCTACTGCATGCAGGGTGTGTAGCTCACCTGAACCCCAGCTTCCAATGCACTGGAAGCCCTATCAGAGCACCATGCGGTAGCTGATTCTCAAGAGCTCAGAGGACCCTCTGGGTCTCTGGTTGGTTTTTGTAGTTCACCTCTCCCCATATAACAGGTCAGAACACTTGTTTCTGTCTTGCCAACCTTCATCCCAAAATGAGAGCTGGAAGAGGAAAACCGGTCCTCTACATCTCCCTCATCCTACAGTTTTAACCTTTTGGGTGTCGCATGCTTTAAGTCACATCCAGGGCCACATCCCTGTTACTATACATGAGCCCAAAGAGATATGCAAGACCTACTATAAGCTTCACCTCCGTAACTAGGATGCTGGGTCCACAAGCCTCCCTTAGAATTGGATGTCCTTAAAGTTCAGTGGAGTAATTTTTCATTAGGTATAGATAACTACAATTTAGACAGCTGATTATAGCTACCTGCTGCTTAAGGACCCATCCATTGCTATGAATAGGACCAGGTATTCATCTAATTACAGAATGGGTAGGAATACGTATGGGCTGGCCCAGTTCTGATATTAGTGCTGCTTGTGTGTACAAAACCTCTCCGAACCATGACTATGTGTGAACCTTATTAATGTGTGAGAACATACCAGGTGTGCATGGTAGTATCCTGCTAAGCATATCTGTAAGAGTTAAAAAATCTTGGGGGTATGAGTCTGATTAGCCAAAAACCTGCTGGATCACTCCACTCATATATCGTGGAAGTCATGCTCATCACTTGAGATATGTCCTTCTTTTTTATGGGTGTGGTAATAGGACAGGACAGCATCATTTTTAAACAGCGGAGAATTAAAAGAGTAGCCTTAAAATGATCTCAGTGGAACTCCTTTCTTTCTCTCTTTCTTTCATACATACACACCCTCCTTTGTACCATCCTACTCCAAGTCTAAATTCTGTGATGGTGATAGACAGTAAGCAGAGGGGGTGCCAGAAGAAATAAAAGAGAAAACAAAGACAGATTAAAAGATGGTACTAATGTATGTCTTGCTCACAATAGGACCCTGATCTTAGTTGGAGTTTCTAGGCGCTACTGCATTACAAATAATAAATAATAATACAAAGCAGTGGTAGAAATGTTATGGTAAAAGGAATTCAGAGACTGGGCCAATGTGGAAATAGGGAAAAATAAGAGCCAATTTGCTTAATCGAGATGCAAACTGAGAGCCAAATATAATAATGGAGTTGGAAGCCAATATATTAGCAAAGCAACTACAGTGTGACAGCCCAAGAGAGAGCCCCATAAAGAGAGGCAGTGTAATAGCAAAAGACGTATGGGAAACACAGCCAGTTTATTACAGCAGACAAACACTGTCAATATAAAATAATGCAGAAAATTCTGCTGTTTTTGGCAAACACAAGACTGTATAGAGACAGGATAACCTCAAACCTGCACAGCATGCCAATAAGGACATGGATCTAAATAATGGTCTCTGAAAGAGATGGACAACACTGCAGCCGTGCTGCGTATGTATGGCTGGACATGTGACGTATCATTTTAGGGTTCTCTTAACCAGGTCCTCAGCTAATACCATTTCTACCTGAGCCACATACACAGTTGTGTGCTCTCAACAGTGGGTGCGTCTACATGTGCGCATTTACTGCATAGTAACCAAAATTACTGTGCAGTACAGGCTCACATCTACACATGCACACCTGTACTGCGCAGTAAGTATGATAACTTATGCTGACTTGAGTGTAAATTTGACTAACTTTAGTCCCAAGTCAGTCCACACACAGCATTAATGCGCTTTAATGCCTGCACGTGTAGATGCCAACCTATTCCCACTTACTGCGCAATAAATTTAAGCTGGCGTAAATGCACATGTAGACACACCTAGTGTCAGTGTCCCTTTTTAGGGAATAGTGAGGAATGCAAAGTTTATTTGTTAATGTTGACCAAAGCCTGAAGAACAGTGCTATAAAACAGCAAGTCATTTAAAATCAAGGTTATACAGAGAATAAAACCAAAGCAGTTACCCTTAGGAGGTCGGGGTGGCCAGAAGACAAGAACAAAGCAATGGGGCCATGCCTGGGGTTATTTTTTGGTGTTAGATAACTGGAAAATTCAGTTTACATGACCCAAAGCCCACTGAAGTGCTCCCAGTGCCTTCAGTAGGTGCTGGATCAGACTGGCCTGAGGATGCCAAGCACAGGGGACATATATCAGTACGAGCGTCCTCATCTTCACTCCAGCTTACATCTGTATGAGCAAAAATAGTGCTCAGGTGCCATCTCTCTTTTACTGAGGAAGAGTCAGTGGAAGTATTCAGGAGCACAACATAGAAAGATGGTCAGGGAATGCCAGAGAGGAATATGGTGACAGATCTGTAAGCTGGTGTAAAGGAGCTATAGTGAACAAGACAGGGTAGTCCATATTCTACAACAGCTGTGGACCAGGCTAGGTGGCACTGGCTGCATCAATATGTACAGGTGTGCATACCTCTGTGTGCATGTAGGCATGCATATGCCTGGCTTAATGCAGGAGCATATATGCACATGTGGATTCTAGGAACAACTGGATGTATTTACTTCCACAAGGCTCTGAGAAATAAAAAGTAGGTGATAAGAGTCCATGTGAGTATGAAACAGGCTTGGGGTGTGTGCTTCACACAGATATGGGGAAGCATACAAAGTGAATCTGGTCAGGTATCACGAACAGGTCAGGACCCGGCCAAATACCATTTCAATTACCAGGAGTTTTTGGCACCATGAAAAATTCCTGAGACTCTTTATGGGCTAGAGCAGTCACTCAGCTACAGGGAGGCAAATGCACACAAGCTGATCACGATCCCCGGCTGGTGCCAACCTTCATCTGATCCTAGAACATAAGGCTGTAATGAAGACACTAGTCTCATAAATAGCTGAGGCTCAGTGGGATCATAGAATCATAGAAAACTAGGGGTGGAAGGGACCTCAGGAGGTCATCTGGTCCAACCCCCTGCTCAGAGCAGGACCAGCCCCAACTAGATTATCTCAGCCAAGGCTTTGACTAGCTAGGTCTTAGAAACAAACAAGGATGGAGACTCCACAACCTGTTTGGGTAACCTGTTTCAGTGTTTTACTACTCTACTAGTGATAAGGTTTTTCCTAATATCTAACTTAAACTTCCCTTGCTGCAATTTGAGACTGTTGCTCCTTGTTCTATTACCTGCCACCACCGAGAACAGTCCAGTTCCATCCTCTTTGAACCCCCCTTCAGGGAGTTGAAGGCTGCTATTCAATCCTCTCTTCCCCAGTCTAAATAACCCCAGTTCCCTTAGTCTTTCCTCAGAAGTCATGTGCCCCGACTCCCTCACCATTTTCATTGCGCTCCCCTGGACTCTCTCCAATTTACCCACATCCCTTCTGTAGTGGGGGGCCCAAAACTGGACAAGGTACTCCAGATGTGGCCTCACTGGTGCTGAGTAGAAGGGAATAATCACTTCCTCCAACCTGCTGGCAACACTCCTACTAATGCAGTCCAGGATGCCATTAGCCTTCTTGGTAACAAGGGCAGATTGCTGGCTCATATTCATCTTATCGTCCACTGTAACCTCCCAAGATCCCTTTCTGCAGAGCTGCTGCTTAGTAAGTTGGTCCCCAGCCTGTACTGGTGCATGGGATTGTTCCAGGGCACGGTGACCACCTGCAGGTGGTGGCAGTGGCAGCAGTGGCGGGGGCATGGTGGTGGTGAGCGGGGAGCTCCCGCAGGCAACCATGGCAGTGTTGGTGGTGGGAGTGACAAGTGCTGCAGATGCTGCCACCAGCGGCGGCCAGCAGCGATCAGACACTGCCAGCAGCATCGGCAGCGAGGGGGGATGATGAGCAGAGACTGCCCGCACGTGCCGCCAGCAGTGTCGGTGGCGTTTTTTGCAGGGCGGGCATCGCCAAGCTCAGGGGGTGCACATGCACCCCACGTGCGTCACCAATGGCCCTAACTGCACTTGTCCTTATTGAAGATACTGAAGTACAGACCACTGCCCTCCTAGAAGGAACCCTGCAGAGGGGAAGCCTACACGCTGAGGTCTAGGAAATCACGGTGAAGCTTTCTTGGGTGCAACAGCAAACCTTCTGCTTTACTCGGAGCCTCCTTTGCTGTTTGCATCACTGTGGGCTGCAGAACAGTGCAGTGCTTGTACTTCACTTGGGGAAATGCGTAACAAAGAGAGACAAGCAGTCAGGCAGTTTGTGCTCTAAGTCAAACTGCCCAGCTCTGTGAATTGAGCTTTTGCCTTCTCTGGGTTGCCGGCAAACAATGAGCCCCTGTTAGGCAGAGAACTCTCTTCCCTAAACTCTGGCACCACGCAGCCATCCATCACTGCCCCGTCCAAATTTTCAGGAGAAACAAACACAAACAAAGAAAAAATAATATCCTGAGGGAAATTAAGCCCCCCTAGAAGTGTGGAGGCTTAGACC